GTCCTCCTCCTCTGCAACTGGATTTCAGTTCAGTTCAAAGTTTAGCTGGTGTCTACTTCCACCAACTGCTGGATGAAGGCTATACGATGGCATATGAATTAGTCATCAATATTATTATCAGGAGAGGGCATTTAAGGTAACCTCTCCTCTGTTGCTTAGATTGTTAGTTGGTGTCATCTTTGTAGCTCTCCAGACATTTCCCTAGTGCCTGATTTCTCTTTAAACCTATAATGTCTCCCTCTATTATTGTATCTCTTATCTTGCTCTCTTCTGTTCTTCCCCCAACTCAACCTCCCTGTCCCTTCATGTCTTCCCCTCTCCTCTTCTCCCCTTCTTATTCTCCTGGTTCCCTCCTGGCCCCCGCCCCCATGCTCCCAATTTGCTCGGGAGATCTTGTCCCTTTCCCCTTCTCCAGGAGACCATGTATGTCTCTCTAAGGGTCCTCCTTGTTTACTAGCTTAACTGGCGCTATGGATTATGGGCTGGTAATCCTTTGCTCTATGTCTAAAATCCATATATGAGTGAGTACATACCCTGCTTGTCTTTTTATGATTGGGTTACCTCGCTCAGAATGGTTTCTTCTAGTTCCAACCATTTGCCTTCGAATACCTTAGTTCTCCTTTGCTGATCCATCTTGAAACTTGTAACCTCAGAATTGATCACCCAAACTTCTCTCTCATAGGCATCCTGAACTTACATCCTTGCTTTTGCACTGTACCCACTGAGCAAAACTCCAGTATTTGCTGTTTGGTTAATTCTAGCTATACATTTCTGGATGTTGTATGGAATCATACAATTATGCAAATGGTTCTGCAAGTTTCTGTTTTCTAATTACACTTAAATCCTTACAGTATTTGTCCATCATTTTTCCTTATTGAAATCCATTCTCCCATTTCTTTTTATCTTTCAAATAGAAAAAAATGTTATGGAGGGTTAGGGGTGTTTTAGTTTACTTTGGTTTTGTATTTTAGCAACAAGATATCACTCTGTGACTTTGGATTGTCTGCAACTGAGTATGTAGACTGTCCCCAAATTTGTGGCAATTGTCCTGCCACTACTTCTGAAGTGCTAGGATTATAGGCATGTACCACCGCACTCAGCTCCCATTTCTTTTCAAAATAATTTTTGAGATACAATTCATGTACCATAAATTTTATCCACTTGAAATTTACAAAAATCCAGTGTTTTTAGCACATTTATTTACACAGAGTTGCATGGCCATGATGATAGCCTAGTTTTAGAATATGTTATCATCTCCAAATAAGCTGTACTATTTGAATCCACCACAGCTGTCTTGCTTGGACAATTGAAGTACTGCATGCTTTCTATTTCTACTTTTGTCCCATACAGACATTCTTTTTTGCAGGGGGCAGGATTTCTCTGTGAAACAGTCCTGGCTGTCCTGGAACTCACTCTTTAAACCAGGCTGGCCTTGAACTCTGCCAGCTCTGTGGTGTGTCCCACCACCATGTGCCCCCCCCCCCCAGCCATTCTTTTTTTTTTTTTTTGTCTTTTTTCTTTATTTGGTTTTCTGAGACAAAGTTTCTCTGTACTGCTTTGGAGGCTGTCCTGGAACTCGCTCTGTAGACAAGGCTGGCCTCACACTCACAGATATCACAGCCAGGCAGTGGTGGCACATGCCTTTAATCCCAGCACTCAGGAGGCAGAGGCAGGACGGATCTCTGTGAGTTCCAGACCAGCCAGGTCTACAAGAGCTAGTTCCAGGACAGTCTCCTAAGCCACAGAGAAACCCTGGCTCGAAAAACCAGAGAGAGAGAGGGAGAGACAGAGATAGAGATATCCGCCTGCCTCTGCACCCCACAGCCATTCTTAACACACAAGCCAAAATGACCTATCTAAAACCTACCAAAGGTTCCAAGTGATCTGGTCTCCCTACCTCTCTATTCTTGCTCTTCTCTCTCCAGAACTGCTCCCTTGCTTGCTGTATTTTTTTTGTCATACCATCTGCTCTAATTTGCTATCTGTTGTGATAAATGCCATGGCCAAAAGCAACTTGTGGAGGGAAGGGTTTATTTGACTTAAATGTCCTGATCACAGTCACCATAAAGGGGAGTCAGGGCAGGTGGCACAACCCACAGTGAGCTAGCTCGTCCCACATCAACCATTAATCAAAATGGCCCACAAACATGCCCACAGGCCAGTCTGATGAAGGTAATTCCTCAGTTAAGATTCTCCCTTCCCAGGTAGCTCTAGTCTGTGCCAAGTCGAAAAAAAACTAAGCAGCACACTGACCTTGGTCCTTCTTGACCATAGCAAGCATAGGTACTGCAATGGGGCCCTTGCCTTTCCTGTTTTCTCTGCCTACATATTTCTGACCAGATGTCTACATGATTCACATCTTCCTCAGTGATTTTGATGATCAGATGTAGGAAACTTGTTAAAGGAATCAAAACACTGGCTTTCTTCTCCTATGAGGCTTTATATGAAGTACTTTACTTTTAAACATTTAGCTGTACACTTGGGATCTGATTAGTCATGTACTAGTCATAATTGCTAAACTCCTAAATATATTGCATTAATTTCTGTGATGAGAAAACTGAGGCTTACAAAGGTGATGTAACTATCTACGATCACAGAATAAGTTTTGTAGAATCACATTAAATTCAAGTTTCTATAAACTCCAGAGCCCAGTCTTAGAATCATTTGGACTTTCAGCCATGCATGGTAGTTCATTACTGCAATCTTAGTACCATAGAGATGGAGGAAGCATTGGACTATGTAGCCCAGTCTCAAAATAATAATAATAATAAGTTGCAAAAAACTGCAAATGAAAAGAGAAAATCAGAACTTTTACTCCCTGTCATTTTTCATTTTTTGAGACTGGATTTCACTGTATGTGTAGATCAGGATGGCCTTAAACTCAGAGGTTCCTGAAGCCTCTGTATGCTGGGATGAAAGGTGTGCGTGTGCACTGGCACAGCCAGCTTCCCTTGTTTTGTTTTGTTTTGTTTCAGACAGGCTTTCTCTGTGTAGCCCTGACTGTTCTGGGACTCATTCTGTAGACCAGGCTGGCCTCAAACTCAGAGATCCTCCTGCCTCTGCCTCCCAGAGTGCTGGGATTAAAGATGTACATCACCACTGTCCAGCACTCCTGTCTCTGCTAATTACACTCTGAGAAATACATCTGTTGAGTTTCTCAGCCTCAGTTCTATTCTTGTTTTCTAATTGGATAATCCTTCACTGAGGGAAGGAGTTCTAGAACGTCAAACAACATTTCTGGTCTCTACTCAGATATCAACATCACTGATTCCTTCCTCCACATGTAACAACAAGAACTGTCTCCAGATAGTGCCAAATGTCCACAGTAGAGAGTAGAATAAGGTATAATCCACTGTTACATGATTATAACTTATTTCCCTGTCATTAAGTCTCCTTCCCGATAGAAAGTTAAAATGCTAATGTTTCCCAAAAGGTTATTTAAAATAAACCTACTTTGGGCTGGAGAGATGGCTCAGCGGTTAAGAGCACTGGGTTTTCTTCCAGAGGACCTGAGTTCAATTCCCAGCAACCACATGGTGGCTCACAACCACCTTGAATAAGATCTGGTGCCCTCTGCTGGCATGCAGGCACAAGACTGTATACATAATAAATAAAAACAAAATAAAAAAATAAACCTACTTTTAGATTTCTACATATTATTACTGGAATAGGGATATGTGTGGTGGTCAGAGAATAATTATGTGGAGTTAGTTCTCTCCTCCCACCCTTACATGGGTTTCAGGGACTGAACTCAGGTTGCCAGGCTTTCCGGGTAATTGCTTTTACCTACTGAGCCATCTTGCTGGCCTAAATAAGCCTGTTTTGAAGTAAAGCTATTTGCTCTGACTAGCCATGCAGTTATTACTTTGCTGGGACTGCCAGAACAAAGAACCAGAGGATGGGTAATGGGTTGTTTAAACATTGGAAATGTACTTTCTCTTGGTTGTATTTTGTTTTGTAATCAGGGTCTCACTACATAATCCAGGCTGGCCTGGAACTATGTAGTCCAGCTTTACTCCAAACTTGCAGCAATCCTCCTGCCTCAGCCTCACATGTGCTAGAATTATAGGTGTGAACTACCTACCAGGCCTGGCTACTACTTTTGGTTTTGAAAGCTCCAACTCTTAACATCAAAGTAGAGACAAGTTTGTTTTTTTTCTGAGGTCTCCATGGCTTACAGGTGGTTAGTGGCTCAGGAAGTGTTCTTTGTTATGCCTCCTTATGGCTAGGTGGTAATTGCATTGGTTTTGGTTTTGGTTTTGAGAAAGGGTCTCACTCTATAGCTCTGGCTGGCCTTTAAACTTCCTCTGTCTCCTCAGTGCTGGGATTAAAGGCACCGTGTCACTATGCCTGGCTTGATTTCATTTTCCAAGTCCTACTGACTTGGTTTCATATCTAAGGATCTCATTTCAATGTAGTCACTTCTTTAAAGACCTTACCCCCAAATACAGCCATATACATAGGTATCACGAGTTAGAACTTTAGTGTTAATTTTGGGAGATTCAACCCCTAATATCAACTTTCTTCCATCCCTTCCTTTTGTCCTGAGTATGCTGAGCAACCTACTATGTGCAGAGGTTCTGTTAAGTGCTGGTAATAAACAACAGACCTGGCTACAGTAAATTAGGGAGGGCGGATTTTTTTTTTAAGTACCATCCAAGTATTCTATAAAAGTTTGGAAAGGGAGGGCAGAAGGCCTTCTCCCTTTCTCCTCAGACTTTCCAGTGGCTGGGCCGGTAAAAAGGCCACATTAAAACTCAGCTAACTATGAAGTTAATGAGTCAGCAGCTTGTCAAGCTGGGACTCACTTGGCTCGGAATCAGCAGATGGTGGCTAAGCCGGCATCCCACACTACCTCAATTTCCCCTCCTCTCCTCCACTGTG